TACAAGTGTTACTGCAGTTACTTAATATTTTAGTAGGAAGTCATTATTGTTAGATGAATAGTGAAGAATAAACCTAAATAATCACGAGTACTTTCTTTAAACTTTCATTTAAAAATAAAATGTGAAAAATATTTTTTAAAAAATGAGATATAAGGATTTCGCGAGCATTCATTTCAATGAAACTAATATTCTTCGGATTAATACCCGTATTTTATTATTTTTAAAAATACATACTCGGGACGTTTTGCTTACTTTTCAACAACCGTGATCACAGTAAAATTCCAAAAATAGATGACACTAATTGACTTTTTAATAGAAAAATTATCTACGAACGGTCTATAACGATTATTACATTAATGCACTCTTTACGCGTAAAGAAGTATATACCTACATATGCTCAACATTGTTCTATTCACCATTGTTAGTTGTTAAGTATGATCCTTTTTGTAAAATTATGTAAAATTATTATAAAAACACTTACGGTCCATTTATCATTTCACAAAACTCTGACGTTAATGGAAATACTGAATTAGTAACAAAGAACTTAATTTCAGGACATTATTATAATAATTCTATAAGATAAAAGAGAAATATATAAATTGTCCAACATGATATGAAAGTTTTATAAACATTAGGTAAAGCTTATATGATTATAGGCATTTATTGTAATAGTGAATAATGTTGTCTTTCCAGATAAATCTATACTATAATGAAAATAAATGTTACTTTTGTCAAAGTAATACGAGTATAAGAAGGCTTAAGTCACCTTTCTGCGGAAATGTTGTGGTACTCCGGCAGGTAGACGGGCAACTAGGCGCATAGCGTGAAGCCACTCTGTAAAACCACCCTCGCCGGGGGCTTCGCTGCCTGGCGTTACACCGAATCGTATGTTTGCATCGCCAGCTTACATAAATAGAAAACAGTTTTATAAAGCTCTTTAGAAAATAATGTCTTATTTAGATTCTGAATCAAAAGGGAGGCATTGAATAGGTTTGGTTTAGGTTTTATTAAGAACAATGAGAACGAATCTAAATTTAGAAGTTCTAACACAATTCAACCGCATCATTTATCATGATAAAGCTATGCATATTGTATAGGTATGGACCACTTTACTGTAATTTAATTAAACACAAATACTGCAGAAATAGATAGTGAATAAAATCAATATGATATGTCATAACTGTTTTGTTGCCTTTCATGTTGTATACCTGAGGCAGTCTTCGCAGAACTTGCCAAGTTCCTGAGAGAATTCAGAATAGCACTCATCTGTTCTGTACAACGCGTACATTTGACACTGAATGCATAACTTCCTTTTAACACTAAACACTGAGTTTATAATCGAACTTCATTAAATTAAACACGACATATTTATTTAGGATACTAAAGAATCTTTCTGTTTGTCATCATTAACACAATAGTTACAAAAAATTCAATATGAATCACGAAAAAAGCCATTTCTATTAATAATTTATTGCTACGTTGTCGACCAGCTGATTTGCTGTTTACTGGATGAGGCACGGATCAAAGTGGTAGGGCTGTGAACCCACTACTACATCATTGTGATGGTTTTATATTAAATCGATGCGCGGACAGCAGCTAAGGCAAAATGGGCTAAAATGCCGATATAGCATGTAGTGGTAGATGCCTAACTAGAGCATGCGCAATCAAGCTGTTAGGCTTTATCTGTGTGAGTTGTGTATTGATTTCGCATAGTTGTGTACGTTAGTTACAGACTGAGGGGCATTGTAAAATGTTCTGTGTACAGATATACTTTTATGTGCGTATTTATTTAGTACTCTGAATGGTATCGTGGCGTCTCAATTCTCTAGTCATGGTTATTGACATTTTCCATCATTCATGATACCCTCATTACAAAATACAGGGTATATTCATTCACACATTATTTACGCGCTACTTCAAATTTGCTTTATTAATGTTGCGTGTGTAATTCGTAATTATTTTTAATTTACGTAATCCAAATAGGTATTACTTGTTATACAACTTACTTAAATGGCGTAGAAGTACTGTAAATGCTGCACATAGTTTTTTCTGCTGACGGTGCAGACGATCACGTAACCGTAAACATTTGGCTAAACGTTCCCCAGCTACCTGCAGACATCTTTTCCATTCCACAACTTGCTCCTTGAGTTCATTGATTTCTAAAAGCAATCCACTATTATAGTAGCTTTAATTCAAAGAAATATGTGATAAAATTTACAAAAAACATACCCAAAGATTCCAAATAGCTGATTTCAATGAAATCTGATTGTTCTCCACAGTTTGATTGCGAGGATGTAAAAGATGCAGCAGTCGATCTGAAAAATAACACATTAATTCTAATATTCTATTAACATCGTATAATATGTACTACATATAACAACCATATCTCTTCTTACCCGTGACCACTAATGGTTGTCCAATCTCGATGATCAGCATAAATGTCATTCAAAAGTTCTTCTACCAGCTCTTTAACATTTTGCTTCTGAAAAAATATATTTATCAAAATAAACCGACAGAACATTGTAGGTAGTTCTACAGCTTGGAAACAGATTTGCATTTAGCACTACCTATTAATTAAATTAAAAATAACTTTGTTTTACCTTTTGTTTACATTGTATTTCTGGTGGATTTGGAATCTCATTTTGTTTCTTATTGCAGTTTATGTGCGGGACATTGATTGCTTTGCTTTTCTTGCGATGTCTAGGTTGATAGTCGTATAGTGATGAAAAATCGAGTTCAAACTTAACTACTCTTAAATTAATAGGCTCAGTTATGGTTATTGTTTTCATTGCAGAACAAATGTCACACTGACTTATTACGAATCTATGTAAAAGGATATATTAAAAAAGTTTAAATTGTAATTTTAAAAGCTTGTTTATGTGAAGGACGATTGTTCTGAACTACACATTGTGGAAAGAGGGCGCCCGATAACGCCCACTGAATTGTCTGTTCGTCCCGATACTACTGATAACGCCTAATATATTATTCATTCAAATGCATGCCAAATGAGATAAAGAGGGACGCATATTAACCATCGAATAGGGAATATATTTAAACGTATTTATCTATAATATGGATAAGGATTGAAAATATATTGGTTATTAAAATATAGATATTTTAAACTTTTTTATTTTAATGTTATTATGTTAGCAAATATAACCTTAGTTGTAAATTTCTCGTATTATCAGTTTCCAAAAAAAAGCTATATAACATCGACACTATGTATAGGTACTTATTTTGAACTTTTATGTAAAACGTAATATCAACAAAAAGAGCTAATTAATTAATTGAAAGCTAAGGTTTAAAATGAGAGCAAGTAAATTAATATGTCTCTAATTACCAAAACCGTGTCATTTTGTTTTTTTGTTTTTCCTTGTTTAACGTATTGGGTTATTATAAAAATCTATACTAATATTATAAAGCTGAAGAGTTTGTTTGTTTGTTTGTTTGTTTGAAAGCGCTAATCTCCGAAACTACTGGTTCGAATTGAATAATTCTTTTTGTGTTGGATAGTCCAATTATCGAGGAAGGCTCACAGCTATATAACAGCACGCTACAACCAATAGGAGCAAAGATATAGTGGTAAATGTGTAAAAAACAGGAGAAATTATTTCATCTTTGAAGCCTTCCGTTGCGTGCGCCGTGAAAACGGTTCAAGATACACAAAAAATATGTATTAAAGAATAATAGCTCTTTTAATGATCTAAAAACAGTCCGCGACAGTATATGTCTATCTTTTAAGATTAACTCACAAAAACCGTTTTTATGGTACCTAATTTGGTCGAAATAATTTGTTTAAGGTGTATCAACATAATAATATTAATCTTTATTCAAATAAACAAATAAATATGTTGTTGGTTAAGAGTACTTCATTGTGAATAAAAAAAACATAGGTTTTATCCCGAAAACTCTACGAGAACTCGACCATTCCGAAAACCCCGCAAGAACGGGAACTATGTGGGAAGAACCAAAAATCTGCCGGAAGTCACTATTCCACGCGGACGGAGTCGCGGCAAAAGCTAGTTTATAATATATGTTTTAAATACTGTAGTATTATTTAATATTTCAGTGTCCATTGTTCTTTAGATAAGATTTTCAGTAGCTCTAATTTGTAGATAGCAGTATTTACATTAGAATTATTTTTTTCATTATAATGAATGATATATTATACTTAAGTATACTGATATATTAGACTTTATATTTATACTTAAGCCAATTTTAATATAATTCATATACATTGCCCAAGGGTTGTGTGTAAAAAATAGTTGTAAGTTAGAAGAAAACAAAATACAAATCGTTCTTTTTTGCCTTGGCTTCAACACATCAGAATATATTTTATCATAAATATTTCGAAGCTTCCTAGCTCACAAGATTATTAGCTGGTTCACGTTTTAGAGAACCCTTTATTAATTTGACATCATTGCAGGCTAATTCATACAAATGCCTTTATAAATTTATCAGATGAAATACAAAAGAAAGCATCCTACTTTGGCTAATAACTTTTTTATTCTGAAAAAGTAGTTCAGGACACGTGTTTGGAATTCATCAAACTGTTAACCTTGTCGTAAGCGTACATAAAACATGAAACATTAATACATGAAAAAAGTACTAAATAAAAATAAATATAATAGAATAAACGAAATCTCTATGGATTTTCTGTAAATAGGGCGTGTACTTAAGTTTCATAACAAAATCAAAGGATTATACATTAAAAAGCTATCATAAAATTATAGTATTAAGAAAAACTATAATTTGGATACTTTAATAACTAGTGATATACTGTGAGAATAGTAATAATTTTTAAAAAATATTAGAATTTTCACAGCTAATATAATGCTTTAATAAGTTCTAGAAAAAAAGTCACCAGTACCTTTTGTCGTTGCTTTATAAATACATATTTCGATATTAAGCATTTGTTGACTAATAACCATAGCGACGTAGACAGTCACTAGGAAGAAAATTTTGAGCTTTGCTTTTATGTTTTTTTGCGAATTTTAGGAATGAGTGAGGCTGAAACATCAGATAATGTTGAACCAGGTTTCTGTTCCGCAGTATGTACGGACAGAGAGAGTTTACAACGAGAGATTCAGAAGCCCGAGCTGAAGACATCTGATATGTTCGCGACTTGCAATTTGCCGAAGAGATTTGAGCACCCTCGTAAGTTTTTCCTTAGGAAATTATACTACAGCACATTTAACAATATGTAAAATAAATAATAATATTATGTGACCATATTAGATACAAGGTCGTAAAGCATATGTCTGGTGTTGGCTTCTAATGTTTTTATTCTATAATGTCATTCTTTACTTAATTGAAAAATTTAATTCATAGCGGTCGGGTTCGTTGATCCTTATTTATTCAATACAACACAAATGGGCTATGCGGGCAGACGATTGAAGAACAATTAATGATCTCACACCACGCTTACTGACTACTTAACGAATAGCGTTAAATTTGTTAAGAGTTTTCCTAGCATGCTATTCTTATTTAAAGAAAAGCCTAACATGATATATTTTTTATAATGATTTTTATATTTCTCAGATTGGTTTAATGGGTATGGATGTCAAGTTAGCAAGCAGCATCCGTTTTATAGAACTTCAGCCAATGAATACGGCTGGTATCCACCGGGTAATATTAACTTATATATTCATCTAATAACTAAGAAATATCAGTTTTCAGTTCATAAATGTAATGTTATTGAAATTGGTAATACATTTTTAAGGGATTTTGCCTTTAAGGTATATATATTTTTTACAATGAGATTTAGTTTAGAAGAATTCAACACGTCTCGGAATAATGAATGAAAGATTCAATACAAAAATTATAGGTCAACATTCAATACCGTCCGTGTTTTTTCCAAAGAGTCAAAAGTTTTCCAATCAACTAGCGAATGCTGGCATGTACAGGAATTACTCTCTCAACACATCCATGGATCCACCACCAGCTAAATAAGGTTTATGATAAAATATCGAGCAACTCGCACAATCCCGTCAGCTGATATTTTCAGTTATCTGCGAATTCTGCGTTTGGTTCTACTGCTCAACTCTTTTTTTACTGAGTGCTAAGATTTAATTCCTATCTTGATGTTTAATTTGCGCTTGTATAAGTTATATTTTTAGAATTTTAAGAGAAGAATGCCTAGTTATATGGAATAGTTTGGCACTGGCAGATTGCACATACCTATTGTGAATATTGTTAACACTATTGTAACACGAACTCTGTAAAGTTATGGATTGTATTTTAATAATTAAAAGCGTTATATCATTAATTGAGTTTCCATTAAACATTAAGCCCGTTTTATCACAACTGCACTTCAAGAGTTGTATTAGCTTGTGTGCTTTATTATTATTTATAATTTAAATGTTTTATTTAGGTTTCTCGTCAGTTCCTTCTGTATTTTTTCCGGCTGGTCAAACGTTTACAAACCGCCTGGCCGCCGCTGGCATGTACAGAAACTACAGCCTCAACACCGGCATGGATCCCGTTGGTTACCGATAAACTTTGATTTTAATGTTTTAGAGATTTTTGAAATATATTATATGAAATATAAAGCCTTTAATTATTTTTTCGATACTCCGTCAGTTTTGTAATATCTTGTTATCAATTAATACTTCCGGTCCTACATATACGGCTAGTTCGGGTACATCGTGATGATTATTTATAAGTATAGATTAAAACTTCTGTTCAACAATTTAATTAGTAATTTAATAATCAAATAAATAGTTGATTCATATTTGTTTATACTTGGAACATTTTATTATATGTTATTCTATTTATTAATGGCGCCCTCTGCTTGTCAGCTTCCGGCGCAATTAATAAATAGTGCTTATTGTTATTTATATACTCTCAAATTATGTCGATTAATCAATGCTATAATAATTTTGTTTTGTTGTGTATAATGCAAGAATTAAGCTACTAGAACCTTATTTTACTGATATGACTAGATTATAAACTTCCGGTGTAATATATCAACCTTTAATATTTAATGTTACATAATCCTGTATTATTAAATAATATTTGTCCATAAATAATAATTAGAATAATTAAGATAAACAATGTTTAATATTATCTCTTAAGTTTACAAATTGAATATTAAATTAAGTCAAGATATTGAATATAATACCGATATACCGCCATATTGAATAGATCGGCCATTAGTATTCTAACCGTTGTAACGTGCATTAAAAGTGTTCCTTTATATAACGTATCGTCATTTACGCCGCCACCCTGAGAACCCACCTTTTTTTATACTTCAGAAGTGGGATAATGTCTGGCCCATATATCGACGGGCTTGGTACAAAGAAAAGGAGACGCTGCGAGAACGCCGTACTTGACAGCGATGAATTATCAAGTTTTTTTTCTTCATCCGATGACGAAGAGATCTTGGAGAAACACAGGCGATATAAGAAGCGACTTGTCACCCAAACCGATGCGGAGGTTATTCCAACGTTCCGGCCGGATAAAAAATCTAGCAACGTCAAGGGATGGTTGCATAAGATCGACCAATCGGGCGACGTGTACGGATGGAACAACAAAGATCGACAGTTCATCATGCAGATACGTCTTCGAGGGTCGGCTAGAGACTGGTATGAAGATCTGGATGACTACGATCTCACATGGACGGAGTGGAAGGACGCTTTAGAGACCGCATTCCCACGTTCTACTGACTTTGTGGATTTACTTGAATCTATGCTCGCTAGAAAGAAAACGAATACGGAAACTATGACAAAATATTTCCACGACAAGGTTTCCTTATTAAAAAAATGCAATATCAATGGCGAGTCTGCAATTTCGTGCATAATTCGCGGTCTACCCATGGAAATAAGAGCCAACGCGAAAGCATTCCAATGCAGTACACCACAGCAACTATACTACGGGTATTTGTCGTCATTGGAAACCTACAAACAAATTGAAGCCAGCCATCCGCGACCAACTACCACGTGGCGAAGAGGGGACGCCGTTGCTACAATTACAAGAGGGAGTGACTTTCAACCGAAGAAATGCTATGCCTGCCGAAGAGAAGGTCATGAAGCAAAGGACTGCAAGGTGCCACGCTGCGAGGTGTGCCATCGCCCGGGTCACACGTCTGCTAGCTGCTAGTATGCGGCCAGCTCTACACATCAAAAAGTAAGTGATGTTTAATTTACAACATACAACATATACATAGATTTGTATAAAAAGGTAGGACAATTGGTACTTTATAGGAATAACCAGAGAAAGCACTGATATAACTAGGAAACTTAATGGGTTATATACAGGACCCTATAAAGTAAGCAAAGCAGAACACTCGTTAGATCGCTACACAATATGTAGTATTAAAGGCATGAAAGGTTATCGAAAATTTACGGCTGTTGTTCGCGGTGAAGTCCTCCGACCTTACAGTTCTTCCATTCCCGATGATAGCAGCGGCAGTGACCATGAGGTTGATAGGGACGACTTGATAGATTTATTAGAAAGTTAATTAATAATCATATGCTAGTGAATAAATAGATATGTTAAAATTTATTTTATTATTACAAAGTAAATCTCAATTTATAAAACAAAACTTGTGCAGAACAAATATTGTATTGAGAAAAATAAACTGTTATACAAAATATTTATCTATTCCATCAATTATCAAAAAAAAATCAAACTACTTTAGGACAGAGGTTGTATAAATTACATTAAATTAAAGCTGTGTGATGTAGAATAAATAAAAGCTGTGTGATGTAGGACAAATAAAAGCTGTGTGATGTAGGATAAATAAAAGCTGTGTGATGTAGGATAAATAAAAGCTGTGTGATGTAGGACAAATAAAAGCTGTGTGATGTAGGACAAATAAAAGCTGTGTGATGTAGGATAAATAAAAGCTGTGTGATGTAGGATAAATAAAAGCTGTGTGATGTAGGATAAATAAAAGCTGTGTGATGTAGGATAAATAAAAGCTGTGTGATGTAGGACAAATAAAAGCTATGTGATGTAGGACAAATAAAAGCTGTGTGATGTAGGATAAATAAAAGCTGTGTGATGTAGGACAAATAAAAGCTGTGTGATGTAGGACAAATAAAAGCTGTGTGATGTAGGACAAATAAAAGCTGTGTGATGTAGATCAAATAAAAGCTGTGTGAAGGAGGACGAATAATAGTTATGTTATCTAAGATAAATAAAAGCTGTATACTTAAAAATTGGATAATGCAAGATTTAATTACGGCTTAGACATATCAATTTCAGGTGCCGTACAGCAGCGACAAACCAGGCGCCAATAGCAGTGCTGATCGCCGTGGGACACGGCATACACAGGATGGCCGAATGTTATCAATTAATACTTCCGGTCCTACATATACGGCTAGTTCGGGTACATCGTGATGATTATTTATAAGTATAGATTAAAACTTCTGTTCAACAATTTAATTAGTAATTTAATAATCAAATAAATAGTTGATTCATATTTGTTTATACTTGGAACATTTTATTATATGTTATTCTATTTATTAATGGCGCCCTCTGCTTGTCAGCTTCCGGCGCAATTAATAAATAGTGCTTATTGTTATTTATATACTCTCAAATTATGTCGATTAATCAATGCTATAATAATTTTGTTTTGTTGTGTATAATGCAAGAATTAAGCTACTAGAACCTTATTTTACTGATATGACTAGATTATAAACTTCCGGTGTAATATATCAACCTTTAATATTTAATGTTACATAATCCTGTATTATTAAATAATATTTGTCCATAAATAATAATTAGAATAATTAAGATAAACAATGTTTAATATTATCTCTTAAGTTTACAAATTGAATATTAAATTAAGTCAAGATATTGAATATAATACCGATATACCGCCATATTGAATAGATCGGCCATTAGTATTCTAACCGTTGTAACGTGCATTAAAAGTGTTCCTTTATATAACGTATCGTCATTTACGCCGCCACCCTGAGAACCCACCTTTTTTATAATCTACAAATATAATGATGTCTAAGACTTTCTCGAGTATTTATTTGAATAAAAGTAAGATTTTCTGATATACTACGTATTTTTCATTATTTCAAAAACTACACACTCCTGACGTTTCGGGTCATTTGCAACAAACGTGATCACGGGCTGACAACTACCATTACCATAGTTATCAATTTATATACATACTAGTTATTTGGCCTTTATTTCTAATTTATTGCAGAAAAGAAATATAATCCTTGATATTTATGAAATATATTAATTACATATAACTCCGTTTTCCTTTTTTGAACCTAACATAAAATATTGAAAAAGATTAGGCACATGCTTCACTTTTCCCCCACTTCCTCTAAAAATAATCTTCATCTTCATCAAAATTTGTTGATTTGTCTTTAAATTTCTGAATATATCGATCGATTGACCTTTAAGAACATTTAAATAAGAAGTGTATTTTTATCTTAAATATTATTTTAAACTTTTTATTTTTTTATAGAAATAAATTCAGTATCAAATCAAATACCAATCAAAGAAAAATCTTAATGTCATGAGCAGTCAAATCATATTTGGTGAAAATGCTTGTATGATGTGATTCAAAGAGGTTTCGTCTTGTATCATTACTTTTATTTGTTAAGTTGAACATTTATTAAAACTATTAGGTAATAAGGTATGTGGAATTCAAATAAAACCAAGTAAAACGCATAGTCATTACCGACTTACCAAAAGAGGTATTTATTAATTATATATTTATTATAGTATAGATTAACATGCATTCAAATTCCATTATGATATTATATTTCAAAAGACATGGATGTCACTTTTATACTTAACAAAAGATTATTGCTTTTTGTCATAATTATGACATTTGTATTTAATATCAAAGTAAGAAATAGGTAATGTTACCAATATAATATATAGTTAAATTAGGAATTTTAGTAAACAAAAGCAAGTAAAGTTTAATTTGTGACGACCATGTCTGTTGTAATTAAGCTGAGATAGAACCACGATAAGATCAAGGAAGTATTCTATTGCCTATTTTGCCGTCAATGATTTTATCGTGATCAATCTTCAGAGCATTTCCATATGAGTAGACATTGTATAACTTGTTTAGCAACAACAACAACAGCATTATATTTAGTGTTTATTATAATTCTAATAGTAAACGCAGAACAATCTAATATAAAATTATCATTATCAACTCATTAAACTCAACCGTATAATAACGTATCGTGATATCAATATAATTATAGTCATCTAATTGCGCATTTCATAGACACTTATTCATTAAGAGCTAAAGGATTTGTGTCAAAAATTTTACTACAAGTGCATATAAATTCTATCTAAGAATATTTGTTTAGGTTGACCATTACGAAGAGTTATGTTTACAAATGTAAGTAATTGCCCTTAATGAATGCCACCTTGAAAGACATTAATGCCTGGATGGATTAATATATTTTGTAGTTATTAGTTATTTGAAATCTTTTGTCACTATTTTGATGAAAAATGTCAAAACAATAATAATTCAATCAGGCGTTAGCCCGCACAAAAATGTGCATTTTTGATGGATTTAGGTGGCTTTTAAATTACATGAAAATGAAAAATTACTTCTGATGTAATAAAATTATATGAACTAGCGTATCTCATTTTATATCACCCTTTTGAAACGATTTCGTTGTAAAATGCCTTTTATCTGAAAATCAATAATATGACGTGTGTCACTTCAACAATATAGAACTGAGTATATTTTTAAATATGACACGATATTGTATGTATATGACACGCTATGTGACATTGAAATACACGTTCAAGTTATTAAAATATTGCAACTGGGATTATACATAAAATAATGTAGCACTATTTTGTATAAAAACAATAATAAGAAGCTTTCTTTAACTTCTAGTGTATCATTAGAAAAGCGCAGCGTATAACCATATAACATTTTATAATAATGATCCATTTTGCTATATCAATCATAATTTCAGATCCTAACTCCGTTTTTATATATAAGGAGGTCCCATTAAAATATATATAAATGAAAGGAACAATTTATCAGAGTAATCAAACAGTATACTTAGTTAAAATTTGTATATTATTAACAGTTTTTCATTCATATATCTTCGCATTACACTATTAACGTAGGTTATTGAATAAAAAACGAGCAACGCTTCTTATGTAGTGTAACGAAGCAAAACTTAGACTAAGCATACTGTTGTAAGTAAAGGGTTAAACATATTAGACTAAGCTTACTTTATAAAGATATTGCGTGAAGAACACTCGAATACAACATGACTAACCTTAACTACAAGATACGAACTAGCAATAAGATATATAAAATGTGGAATATATTTTGCATTCAACAATATTGTCTTCAATAACATTACTTACACACCGTTGCGAGCGAATCCCGAGATCTTTGCGTCTTCAGCAAAGTATTCCGCTACTAAGACACGATATTCGATTTCGATTCCTTTCCATAAAACAAATTTCATACCAATTATCCAATCTAAAATTTTAATTATGTAAATTCATAGGATGTTTTTCTTTCTGTTCCAAAAATGTAGGGCATTTGTTTTTAAAGTATTCCAATCATCCTTGATCCGTACGATATCTTATTACAATAGAACGAAGAACTCATTTCACATAGAAAGGTGAAGCTAATATCGAAGTTAGTTTATAAAATAGTTACTACGGTGGAAGTTTCTAAAGTTTTATAACGAGACGCAACTCGCGCACGAACGGAATCGATCACAATGTAGCTCAGTTGATTTATATTTTTATAACAAACTTATTGTAAAAAATCTATCTTTATATTATATTAATACTATTCTTAGTTTCTGTTGTATGATCTCAAGTCCATGTCTATTAAAACCAGTCGTGTTTTAATGGTTTATGAACAAATTATAACGGATTGTTGGTTTTAATATTTAAATGTCTAATACAAAGTATTTCTATTGCTAGTATGTTTAACAACAATATATTTTGATCGAGATGTTATGGCAAATATTTAGAAATGCATTCGTTGGATTTCATTTCGATCTCGAAACAGTAATTGTTTATTTCGTGGGTGTTATTTTTTTTTCACTAAATTTTTGTTTATATATAGGATTCAATTCACTTTTAACTCTTTGTAAATAAAAATGATACCATGGTTTGCTACAAAATTCTGATGCGATCAATGTTAAAATATGTATCCTACGATCGAAATGAAACTTTGATAAAATTACTTCATGACATAATATTTTAATGTATATTTTATTATTTGTTTTTAATTTATCCGATGGTAGCCATGTAATTATGTATATATGTATCCCTTTATTAATAACGGCTGGACTATTTATATCATAAAGTAATTTTAACTAATCTCCCTACTAACTGGATCGTTCATCGAATAAAAAAAAAAACTATCCTTTGACAGGTCCACTTTAGTTTGACAAAGGGTCAGTTGGTAATATCAATGTAAGATTTGGATATTTTTGGTTACATGTCTCCGAAGATACCGGCGAATGTTTTACGGAGGTTCTTCATGGTGTCTTCCGCGTCTTCTGTTAGGGCGGCGCTAAGGGAGCCCTGGCGGGCGAAGCCTCCGCGAGAGGGCGTGCCCCCCGCAGCGGCCGGACCTCCCGCGGGGGGCGCAGTCCCCGTCGCAGCGCCCGCCGCTGAGCCGGTCGTACTAGGAGCCGCTGATGCTGACGACACCGTCGATGATTGGGAAACTTTAACAATATTGAAACGATTCTGATAGTTCTTATTAAAATAGGTAGCATTTTAGGAATGTGTAGGTTGTTGAAAAGCTGCATTAAGAGACGTATGTAAATCACTGGTAAAAGTAATGATCACCCCCAATAATTATAGTTATAATTGCTAAGTATCTCTTTCAAGTGTACCTTGTGAGTCTCTCCGTGTGAGTGGTGGTGGTGGTGGTTGTGTCGGCTCCGCGGGTATGGGTGGTAGCGGCCGGTCGATGCTGGCGGCGGCGGCGAGCGGAGCGGGCGGCGGGACGGATGGCGGCCCGCTCACCGAACGCTCCTCGGGAGACGCCGCGCCACTACCCGACACGGAGCTGCGAGATGCCGTCTTGGTTATACCAGGACGACATACAGCCTGAAACATCATAATTTTTGCATTAAAACCTTTTTAGAGTGTTAATTTGAAGTAGAGATGAATCTCTACTTTTTAATAAACATCATAATTTTTGCATTAAAACCTTTTTAGAGTGTCAATTTAAAGTAGAGATGAATCTCTACTTTTTAATAATATCATTATGTTGTTGTTTGTTGAAAGAGTACAGAAGAAGGAGAGAAGTTGATAAAAAATGTAATAATATTCCTATTTGATCCTAATTTAAAGACATTTTATTTTATATATTAATTTAAGGGATTCATCATCATCACCCTAGCGTTTGTCCCGGTTGTTCGTCCCGCCCAGGGCGGGAGAACCCAGGGTCCGCTTTCCCACTCAGTTTCTTCCACTTAGCCCGGTCTTCGGCATCCTTCTTGTGGAGTCCATTGGCACGCATGTCATCTTGCACGACATCAAGCCAACGTCTTTTGGGCCTTCCTCTACCCCTGGCGCCAGGTAAGGTCATATTGAGGCATTTGTGACCCACGTAGTTTTCCGGTCGTCGTAAGACATGGCCGTACCAGCGTAGGCGACTTTCCTGCAATTTGTCGGCAATGTCACGGACATGCAAACTGCCCCGAATGTGTGAGTTACGAACGCGGTCTTTCCGCGTAACGCCACACATCCAGCGCAGCATATTCATCTCCGTGACATGCAACAACCGCCGGTGCCGCTCCAGCAGAGGCCATGCCTCACTGCCGTACATAAGGACAGGCCTAACGATGTTTTTATAGACCTGTCCCTTCAGCACGACCGGCATTTTAGGGTCACAAATAACTCCAATCACCTCACGCCACTTCGCCCAAGCCGCAGTTATACGGGCTTTGATGTCGCGATCGATGTCTCCGGACGCATCGAGCTCAGATCCAAGGTACTTGAAGTGATCCGTACGCCCTACCATGACGTCATCGATCCAGATGGAGGTAGGATCCGAGCTATTGCAAGCCATATACTCCGTCTTCGTCGCATTAATTTTCAGCCCGCCGTTCTCAAGTGCCCCTTTCCACTCGTGCACACGCCGGATTAAACGTCCCTTGTCCTCATCCACCAGTGCGATATCATCAGCGTACATCAGCAGCCAAGGTGGTGGTAACTTCTGTACACTGGCTGACAGTTCGTCTAATATCACACTGAATAGATATGGGCTTAGGACAGATCCTTGATGCACGCCTACAGTAATAGGGAAGGGTGTGGTGTCACCAACAGCGGTCCTGACTATAGCATCGGAGTTGTGGTACATGTCTCGTACGATTTCCACATAGGTATTTGGCACCATCTTGGACCTCAACGCCCACCAGATTATCTCTCTGGGAACACAGTCAAAGGCCTTCTGCAAATCCAGAAATAGGAAATGAAGAGGCATATTCTTTTCCCTGTGTTTCTCCATGAGAATCCTAAGGGCGAAAATAGGGTCCATGGTACCACGTCCCGGTTGGAAACCGTACTGGAAATCCGACACTGTACACTCCTGCCGGATTCTGTTATCAATTATGCGCTCGAAGAGTTTCATGGTGTGTGACATCACTTTTATACCACGATAGTTACCGCAATCCTGAGCAGACCCTTTGCCCTTGTAGACCGGCGTTATGAAACTCAGCCTCCACTGATTCGGCATTTTCCGGTGGTTCAGGATTAGGTTAAAAAGGCTAGTAAGGATGCACACACCACGAGCACCCATCGCTTTCCACGCTTCAATTGATACCTTATCCGGTCCGACAGCTTTCCGATTTTTCATGCGACGAAGAGAATCGAGTACTTCACCAGACGTAATCGGTGGCACAAGTCCTAGGTTTGGAGGAGGTGCTGGTGGTCGCACCTCTTGGTGTTGAGTGTTCAGTAATCCGTGGAAATAAAAGCGCCATCTCTCCTTCACTGCACACTCATCGTACAAGAGCGTTCCGTTAGCGTCAGTAACACAGCGGCAGTGACTTGTATCCTGCGCTGCCCTGATCCTAGAGCGTGCTAGTTTATAAATGAGCTTATGCCCCTCAGGCGAGTCCAACTTCGCATATAGTGGTTGCAAGTGTTCTCGCCTGGCTCTGGCTACAGCTTTCTTAGCCTCTCTTTTCGCAATCTTGTACGACTCGTGATCTTCAGGGGATTTAGACGCTTGCCACTTCTTAAAGAGCACTTTCTTCTCCTGTAACATCCTCTGGACTGTGGCATTCCACCACCATGACTCCTTGTCAATTTTGCGGCCTCCTTTCGCCACACCGAGGATTTGCTTTGCCGTTTTTGTGATTGTTGTCTGAAGCTTATTCCAGTACTCTTCGACGGACTTGCCTTCTGTATCCGGACTTATGTCCCCAGTGGCACAGTCAAATTCCGAGAACCTGGTGTGATCCAGCAGCCACCACTTGATTTGGCGGCGGCAACGCTCAGCGTGTTTACGGCGAGGCTTTACGCCTTAAGGGATTAGATTTTCCTAATTAATCTATATGTTGTCATTCAACTAACACAAAGAAACATTTTAAGATTGATTGCTTAACGCGTAGGTGATGCGAAGTTATTATGGAATTATTCACTTATAATTTATGAGCTGTTGTTATAAATGACTGTTTGTTGACAACTCTCATGATTCATGACAAATGCTGGTAGTCTGAAAAAGGAAAAAAAAGATGAAAGATGAGAAATAAAAGGTGAATAGTGAAAGATATTACCTGCATCCGTTGGAAGACAAGTTCAGCAAGATGTCGACGGTCTTCTTCCTGAGAATCGCCCATGAATGACGTCGCGGAGTCGTTCAATTCAATAATATGCTCACGTCCGTCCTTGCCCACTACTAGTTCAAGAGCGCACACTTCTAGGCCGCCAAAAATCTCGCTCACCTTTTAATATTACAATACAATATTTACATTAGAATTGACACCGGAGAATGTACAAAAGAACTAAGGGAATTATACCCTTACCTCGTCAATCCACATCTTGTATCTATCATTCATGCCAATAGCTTCCAGCATAGCGGAACCCTGATTGGTCTTCCAGTTGCCAGATATAGATTTGCGCCTATAAACATGAATACAACACTATTAAAATCGCAGCTTTAATTAATTCCATTGCGTGTGGTGCCTGCCTCAAATATCTAGTATAAATTTCACTAGTAGAAATGTAAATTTTATGTCAGGCGATTTGATTTATTTTGTACTTACTAAAATTTTATTTAAAAATAAGTACTTGTATAATATTTTAAGTAGTTTAAAGTAATTGGTTCTTACATGAAGGCTTTATAGTTGGTTCCAATTTTCTGAATGTGAATGTCATACTTGGCGTCGATGTATGGCTCAACAGTGCAATATGTTCCCAACATGGCTACCACTCCGGCTATATCCTGAAGATTAATGAATTAAGAATATTGAGTTATTATACTAATTCTTGGTGTTTGATTGTTTCATATATTTTAATTCCTAAGATACTCTTAATATATGATCAATTGCTATTAGGAGAACTATTACATCTAAAATTACGTCTCAACGTAGGACTTCATTTCTTAATGTCTTAAATATGGGTCACTAGTTTTATATATAATATAATTTCAACATAGTAATATAAAGTACGTACCTGGAAGTCGGCCAAAGTCTCAACTTTCACCTTGGCAACGCCGCTGTGTGCATGCCCAATCTTTATAACCACCGGGAACTTGGGTGCTGATACCTGCCAAAATTTCTCTTTATTATTGACTTTTAACTTATCTAATCATATCAGTTTAGGGTGTCATTATTGATTGAAATTTAAACTTATAATTTCGTCTTCTTGTGTCAATTCAAATTATTTCACATTGACAATCAGAGAAGTTTATTAAACTAAAATGATTTTATAACAAAGTAAATCTACCCTTTAGGTATTTTTATTGAAATTAAGTATTGGTATCAAGAAAATATTTGCTATGATTTCTAGGTGTTATAATAGTCTTCCTTAGTTTTGCGTATGAGTTATCATTATTCATAATAATTTGTCATGTAAAGTGTTTACGGGAATTAAATAAAGCTGGTTGACTGATGACTGTTTGCTTTATGTTATTGCTGAGAACAGTTTATCTAGTTCAAATAGTATAATTCTGCATTATAACGGTTCTTCTTACTAGCGTGTGCTCTTGTTCACTTATCTTTGATAACAACCCCTTCTCTTATTTGCTTTTCCACGATTAATAAAACGATAAATAATAATAATAAATCGTATTAAATTAAAATTAGTAGTAGATAAAAATATATGTATAATTAAATCGTTATTTGAATTAATTTTAATTATGTCGTACATTGTCTTCCTCATATATAAATGTTCATAAATTACCTGACGACCAACATCAATGTATCTATTAATAGCAATTACTTCATAATGAATAATGGTATGGCAAAATTCTATTATTAATGTGAGTTATGTGTTAGCGGCAACTGTAATCATAGGTTTGTTATTCATAAATCTTGCTCTGCTAACGTTACTTTACAACGGAAATTATTACATTTTATATATTCAATAACAAAAATTTACGCGTAATATAAACATATGCGCGTACGTAATTTTATAGTAAATAAATTATAATTGTGTTAGGACTGAGTACGTTTAATTTTAATTAGATAACCCTTTTTGTTGTACGCGGCATTATATCTAAGGTCAAAATTTTCAAGGTGATGTTTTTTTAAACATTAATTTAAGTGTACAAGATATAAAATTTTCGTATAGAAAATACGAAATGTCAATAAAATTTAAGTTCGGCAATCAACATAATTTATTCGAAGTCTTAAAAAAATTTCAAGACGTCTTTGTTTTATAATATTATTAAATATTACTTTTGTTCCACGGTTTATAACAGTAGGTTTAAATAAATAATGAAAAATACAATACACTTCCGATTTGTAAATAATTTCACTTGCCTCCTTAAATAATTACATAATTTCAATTTCATAGTAGATATATTTTTGGCAAAATGATAACAGTTTCAAACATAATATACGTAATGGAATGTGAAATAATAGAAGAAAAATAAAATGGCTAAAATATTTATGACGCCCGAGAGAGCTATAAATTCAATATGAAAATTCTAAGAGATTTTCAAAATAATACTGGAGCTATAAAATAGTATGCCTCAAGCACAATCACTCAACTAACACCTGCTATTAGAGGTTATTAGTTACATGGTGAAGATTGTTCTTAAATATATTCAATAGGAAAAACTATTACGATTTACAAGAATAAATTTTAGCTATTAAAAACAGCTAAGTAATTCATGAGCAATATGTTTTTCTTTTTTAAACAATGAAAAAAAAGTTGTAAGTCAGTTAGTAGCGCAATATTAATAATTTAGACCTACTGTTGTCAAAACTAGGCAGATATATTGATACCTATATTAATGAATTGCAAATCATGATAAACTGCACAATGCACATAGGGACTACATAGGCAGACATATTATATGTATGTGTATTGTATATACCTATGTACATATAAATAAAAAGTGGAAATATCTGATTGTTACATTTGAAAGGATTCTATTTATTCCGTTTGTGAAAAATAAAACTTTAAAATATACAGACGAGGTCGTAGGTAACAACTAAATAAGTATTTTTCTAACAAAAATTTGATGTTAAGCTCTACATATTGTTCCAGATGAGAAACAGCTGTGGTTTGGTATCCACCTACATATTATGGACAGAAATAAGTATTAACATAAAAATCGTGAATATTTTCAATAAGCAAGTGTTATATATTGGCGCAGTATAACTTTTAAAAGTTTATCATTGTCTAAAACGATACTTTTGACGACCAATAAATCTTCCATAAAGTTATATCATACATATTTCTTTTTTTACGATTCTTAGAATAATGTATTTTTCATTGTAATTTGATACCGTTGGATATATACGGAATACAAAATCGATCTTAAAAGAGAAAAAAGATATATGTTTTGCAGATAGAATTAATAAAATCAATAACAAATTAGCTTAATACACATTACAGACACCCTTATCTATATATAATAAATCTATTTTTTGTCTACGCAATCATAAGTATTTTTGTGTGCGTAATAATATTCGTATTATAATCTCATTTACGACTCTAATTACGCAAGGGATTGTGAAGAGGTCTTATAGATAAAAGAAGGATTAAAGGTGCAGAGAGGACATTTGCCTATTTTATTAAAGGATCTTTCGTGCTTGTGGCTATAAATGAAAAGCGTAAATAATTCCATCGACATGTTAAAAAGAAGAAACATGTAAGAAAGATCGTGCGTGCAAAAGGCGACATTAAATAGACAATATATCATGCAGGGTTTGAAACTTGTGGACTATAGATAATTGAGTTTTTTTAAATACATTTTAAGCTATTATTTGTGATTGTTTTTGTCACCATGTTTACTTGGTATTTTATGACAGTTTCAATAGAAGCGGGGGCGTGTTCGTGGGTGGCTAAGCATCAAGTGTTAGGTTCAACAGGACAAGCTTTGCGTTTCTGGTGATGACGCATTATCTTCGTCCACTCCGAGAAGTAGACATCAGCCTGTGTGTATTACTATTTATGGTTGTCTCAACTTGTATATTGAGACGTTCTGATTAAACGTTTTGTCCTCTCTTTGTAATATCCTTTAGGCTCTGTAAACGCATTGTTACGTGTCAGACGCATCTGTCTTATGCGTAGGAACCACACGGTCAGAGAACGAATTGGCGATGAGTAATTTTTTTACAACACATGGAACATATTTACATCGTGAAGTCATAGGTTTTTTTTTATCATTCAAATTATGAAAGACAATGTTGAATTGCAAAATTTTCTCGAAGCAGGATTTTATAACTGAACGGAGTCATCCTGTGTTGTGTTTGGAATATTAACTACTATCCACGATATAATTTCCGTGCACAGTATTCATTTTGAACCTACAATTTATTTAATACGGAACCCGCAGTACTCGAATCTGTTTCGGAGCTGGTCAATTGTTATTATGAGTGAGGACTTTTGAGTGACCCAGCACCGGCGCCGCAGTGTCGATCGATAATAATTAATTTCCACCATAACAAGAACTTATCTAAGATCAATCTGTTTGATAACTTTGCGGCGTTTATGGAAGCATTCAATTCAAATATCAATACCAGCGCTGACAGTAACTCTTAATGACTATAAGCAAGCGCAAAATAGTATTGCACGAGTCGATGGCATATATTGTCCTCAAAGGACAAGACAATTGTCATTTATCACTATAACGACTGCCTTTGATGTTATCTTTCCGCCACACGAGTACAAGAGCACACAATTATAAATCGCACTTAGATATGTATTTGCTATAGTTGTGTTCATTATCTAATCGTTGAAATGGAACGCAAGTTTTGCCTGTGTTATGTGAATGTGAACTCATTACCACAGCTATTGACCGTAGCCAAGGTGAGTTGTATGTTCATCGACTGAATTAACACCTCGGAGCTATTTACATTTTTCATCCATCTTAATGCATGGTAATTTGAAATGTTTTAAGCTTGGCGCCGGGATTTCTGTTTAAGTAACTTAACAGATAAAACATATCTGTAAATGTGCAAAGATACTTTACCAGGATCAATTTACAATACCATAGATGAGCTATACAACATACAAATATACAAATTGAAAGTATCTTGTTTTATAAGGATTAATGTATAATGAAAAATCATAACAGAAACCTTTTAATAAGTGGTGGTGGTCATTGAGCATGTAGTATGTTTAACGTTTCTTAAACAACGAAGCCTATTGTTCGAGGGGTCTTTAAATGAAAATATTTTTGTTAAGAAAGGTGACGGGTTATTTAAAATGTTTTATATTATTGAAACGGCGAAATTTTGTTGACCTTATATCATTGTGCAAATTAAAAATAAAGAAGAAGCTTTTCAAAGACAGGACAGGTACCACTCACAATAAAGATAAAAATATTGAATGGAAATATCACGAAGCTTTGTGAACCACTTAAAAGAGTCTTTCATTTCACAAATCTTTATTTTTTGCTTTTAAAAAATCTTAGTTTTTAAGATAAGAAATAATACTGATATTTTTGTGTAGTATAAATAGATTTTATTATCTTTGAAGCAAAAACTATGACGGTGGCAATTTAAATGTTTTGGATAAGTAGTTCAAGTTATAAAAATAAATTGACGAAAATTTGTACTATATACACACGATAAAATACTAAATATAGTTTATGAGAGCAAGAGTACTCCCTATTACCAAATGTAGACGTATTTTCAGACAGTACATACATTAATGATAATTTGTAGCGAGAAATTATAGTTCATTATTACATCATAAATCAAAATTCAATCAGTTTAGTTAACAACGTCTTAAAGAAAACATTGCTGCAACTTTGCTCGACCCATATTGATAACAAGGAGCATCAACAAACACTTGTATCATGCAACGAAATTAATTGAAAACTACTTCACGTACCCGACTTGCATTGTAGTAATTTTTTTATCATCAACAAAGTAAGTCATAGTATTATGTTTTAAATACCAATGAGTTCTTCAGAAGTGATTCTACATATTTAAAGATCAACGCTAAAATAGGGGTGTTATAAGTTTGTAGTCGGCATCTGTGTGTCTGTCTATGGCATCGTAGTTCCTAAACGTTAATGTCGATGCGTTTTTTTCATTAATAAGCCAGTTTTCTAGCTGTGGTTCACGGCTATGTTTGGTAAATAT